AGCTCGGAAGGAAGATCCAGAATTTGAAGCGATAACTCGAGCAATAGTTGGACAAGAAAATTCAAGTTTTGGAGTTGGTACTTGTGCGAGCGCAAAGCAAGAAAATTCAAGATTTGGAGAGGCAACTCGTACGATCGCACAACGAGAAAATCCAAATTTTGAAACGATAACTTGTGGAGGCATAGAGCATAGAAAACTAAGATTTGGAGTAGCGACTTGCGCGAACAAAGTTGAGCATTCAATTCGACGAGGGAATGGAATTAGAGGACATATCTGATGACGAAGAGGAGAACGTCAATCCTTTGGGGATTCAAAACTATGGACGAAATTGGGGAGTACGACCTAGAGATTAGTTCGCCTTTCAAGATATCGAGATGCAACTCAACATTTCAAACTTTAATGTCTTTGATCATAACATAGTTTGTGATGATTATCCGATTTATGATGATTACCCCATTTATGAGGATTATCCATCTGATGATTGTGACACCCTCCCTTGTACGCGTCCAAGGAAGTTGTCTGCTAAGTGGATTAGAGTCGTAGCGGAATTGATTTAAATACTGAAGACGTATTTTCAAGTAGTTAATTATACTCTTAAGTTGAAATCTGGTTGCTTACAAAAATCAGGGTGGAATTTTATACAATGCATTGTTTGCTGAAATAATAATTTTCCTGAAAAGCCTGTCTGTCTCACAAAAATATGATAAATCGAGCTTTCAGAATTTCATTGTAAAGTTTATATAATCTGAAACTAGACACGTGGGGCTTCGCGTGCATATAAATTATAGGCGAATCGGAGGTCTGTAGCCCCACTAAATATGACTCACAAAGTGCTCGCCAAAAAGTAACAATTTAAAACATATTTCAACAGTAGTCCAATCTTCCCAAAATATTACATCAAATTATCATAATCAGCCAACATCTACAAGACCAAGCAAACAACAGGAAAAATCCCAAAACAACAGCGATAAACAACAAATATCCAAATAACAATATCATCATATGCTTGTTCGTCCTCCTGCAATTTTATAAAAATTGAGCCCGAAGAGGGATGAGAAAAATCCCAGTAGTGTGATAGAAAAACCAATAATGCAACAGTATTAAACTAGGCACATAATTTCTAAACAGTCGCATCAACATTTAAAATTCCGTACAGCTGTTAATCATCATCTTATTGCGCATATAACGCCATGGTCATGTATATTCATAATAGTCATAATAGTGCGTATATAACGCCATTTCCTTGTTAGTGCGTATATAACGCCATTTCCTTGTACGTTCATAGCACCGTCGTGCACGTACTAACATACACAGTGGATATTCCATGATGGCTCCTCAAAGGTGAATTCCAACTGTGGCCTATGCGGACGAAAGCCAAGTGTCCTATACCCTGGTACCGAAGGGATGCCTATATGATGCGTACTCAAACGTATGCATATTTATATAAATATTCTAGTCCATGAGAAGCATGAAATTCGTGCATGTATGCCATGATATGCTTCACACACAAACAAGAAACAAATGAATTATGAGGTGTATATGCATGACTAGATCATCATCATAATATCATATATTTCATGTACTTTCAGTACCAAACTGCCACATAACAATTACTTCTCATAACAGAATTTCTCATCTTGTCACATTCATAGGCAGCATACATATAGCATATAACAACACATTAATCCAAGACACATGTGAGCAACAATTCACAATTCTATACGCTAGCTAGTAGTCACATTAGGTAATACCACCAAACACTTACCTTGGCGTCCAAATATTCAATTAAACAGCAACAAAATAGTCCACGTTCTTAAGGGTTTTGCACACCTAAACAGAATATTAGAAGTCAGAATTTCAACCCACGATTTTCCTATACGTTACATATTGTATTTATTCCCCTAGATCCTTGGTTCACAATCGGTTTGCATGGTTCTTTCATTAATCAAATTCTGACTTCACATAATTTTATTCACTTATGAATAGAGAAAAGTCCAAGGTTTCTTAAGGTGTACCAATTCGATTTTGCCAAGCTACTCAAACAAAGTAATTTTCTGACTTCTAATAACTATTGTTAACTTGTTAACAGTGAGCAATCCAAAGTTTCTCAACCCAAACAGAATCAGTTTTCATCATAAAAAGACATTAAGGATTTTTATTCAAATTTACAACCAAGCTACTCATGGTGCGCTACAAGGAACCTAAGGCATGCTGTCAACTTATATTAAATTCAAGTAAGCTTAATACAGTAGCATAATCATTACTCTATATCTCATTTTAATTTATTATTCAGCAAGCTCACCATGGAGACTTAGTCCAAGCTCCAAAAGAACCATTCTTTGTGCTAAAAAGCACAAAGCTCAAATCGGTTTACAAGGGCAGAATCAGGGAGGAACTAAATAACAAAAAAATCTAACTTTCATGAAGCCCTAAAGTCGAACAGCAAGGTGCACAAGGGTTTAGAGATTACTTACATTTTCTTGACTACACACCCAAGATCTCAACTCGAACAAACAGCAAGCTTCCACCCTCCAATGTTCAGAGCTCAAACCTAGCAACGTGTAATGGGGTAGTGACTTAACCAAGGCAGAATCGCGCGCATGCAAACAGAAAATCCAACAAGAACTGGTTTATGTGAAGAGAGGGATAAGGAGAAGAGAAAGTGGCTCACCTCCTTATAATGGACTTTCGGCTAAACAAAGAACAAAGAAGAAGAAGATGTTGAGTCATTTTCGTCCCTTGCTCATGGAGCTCACAGTTTCTTGCTAGGAGGAGGAGATAGTATGTAGTTTTCTTGAGGTCTAATACTCTAATGGGCTCACGGTTTTAAACAAGGTGAGGATGGAATAAGTAATTTCTCTTGGTGTATAACTCCACACAGCTCACGATCTAAGGGGAAAGAGAAGGTGTTTAGAAACTTTCGTTGTTTCTCTATGATGTTCACGGTTTGAGGAGGCAAAGAGAAAGGGATACAAATCTTGTTTGTGTTCTTTGTTAGGTACTTACGGTCTTGAGAGTGTGAGGGGAGAAGAATGGTGTTGGGTTTTATTTTGAAGAGAATGGTCAGAATTCATATGGCTCTCATCCTCCTAATGTGCGTACAAGTGATGGGGGAATAAGGGTCGTGGGTGCTGAATCAAAAATGACCCAATTAAGATTTCTTTTTGGTCCCATTGGCTGCATGGGTGGCAAAGGCTGAAGTGGAATGTGAATATTAGAACATGTGATCAGAATTTTCTTTTCTCTCCTACACTTAGCGCATGAAGGAGGTACAAGGATGGATGGGCTCTTGGGCTGATTACAAAGACTAACAAAACCAAAAAATAGCTAGGCCTTTTTCCTTTTTCAGCGCACAAGAAGGTGCATATGGGTGAGAGATTTCTACCCAATGAAATAACATGCAAACTGACTACTAGTTTCTTATTGGGTGCATGTTAAACAGCTATTTCAGTTTCGATACCATAGTAAGAAATCAGATTTCTTTCTACCTCTTCCATGCGTATGACAAAGTATAAGGATGAGGGAGTTTGCCATGTGGGGATCCTAGTCCAATCGAAAAACATGCAGGTGGATTGCTTTCTCTTCATTGGCCGCATGAGGAGACAATATGGCTGACTTGCTATGTCTACAAGGGCAAGAAATCAGAATTTTGTTATACCTTAAGCGCACATGTGGATGGAGGGATAAGGGTGGGGCTTTGCCAAGTGGTGCATTTTGGCCAACGAGGGAATGACCAAAATTCTATTAGGATAGGTGAGGTTAGCTAAGGTTGGGGAAAAGGTTTTGGGCTGATAACAAGCCCTTCTCTTTGTCACTTTGGCCGTAGCCCTAATAGGAAAATGGGTCCCAAATATAATGCCCTAATGGTTCACTTATTATTTCAAGTACTAGCCAACTAATTCCTAGCTCAACTATTTAATTTAGTTAAGGTAGTTTATTTATATGTTACGATTTAAATCAATCTTACTTTTTTAACAAGGGTTTCAAATGCCTAAAATATATACTCACTCACAATCATAATTCAGATAATTCCCTAAATTAATTTACTTCCGCTCTAGGGAAAATAGTTATATAATTTAATTCCATCCTAAAGCAAACATTTATATATTTCGAAAGCAAGTACTCTCCTATATTCCTAATTGCAATTTAAATAGATTCCTAATTTAGACGGGATGTTACAATGATGATAATCCAGTCTATGATAAATCTGATGGAAAATCTGATGATGAAGATCTAAAATAGAAAGAATTATCAATTGAGTTTTTACCTAAAGAGATTGATATTAGTGAAGATAAAGAAGATTTGAGGACAAATCTTTTCCTAGCAAGGAAGAACAATGCACTTACAATTGACCCATTACACATATGAACCAACCATTGATTTAAGAAGCCCAGAGTCAATCAAAAATTTTGCCCAATAAGTATGGCCCAATTGTTAAAAGAAGCAATGATTTGAAATATAACAAATTAAGATCAAATTCAAGTCCAAATGAAACAACAGATGTGATTGTGATTTGTTTGGCAAGAAAAGAAAAGCAACACATTTGGCATAATTTGAGATCTAAGATATGAGACATGTTTTGAATGATTTAATTATAATAATTTATTTATTTTTAGAAGTTAATTACCTTAATATTTATTTTAAGAATTTTTCTTAATTTTAGATTTTGAGTTTTGGATCAATTTGTAATTAGTCTATAAAAGGGTACTTATGACCCTTATTGTAGGAGTTGAATTTTGTTATTTTGTTAATAGAAATTGAGAACCAGAGGGTTACTCTTTTGTGAAAATCTTAACTTTCTATTTAGCAATCTTTTCTATGCGCTTTCAGCATCACATGTTATGCTTTTCATTTTTTATCAAAAGACCAGGTCAAACCTATAAACCAAACCTTTGAAAGGTTAATAGGCCAGTGTAGGGTCTAAATATTTTAAGTGGGCTTAGGCAATTAAGGCCAAAACTTGTCTCATTTACACCCATACTCTCAGCCTAAGTTTCTGCCTACAAGGCTGGGTGGTGGTTCTGATGAACAACTTGACGAAGATACTGGATTTCCCTTCTTGTTTCTTCAATCATGGCGAGCGTTGCAGGGTCAATAGTTGTTGGTGAAGCAATGACAAGGCCACCGGCTGCGTAAATAGATTACAAAATTGGTAGAAGAGCAACAGGTGCTCGTGGTGGAACTTGAACAAAAGCAGCTAAGTCCTCATTGAGAGCCTGAACATGACCCTCAAGAGTCACTACTCTGGATTCGTTAGTTCTTGTTGTTTGAACCATTTTTTTTCAATAAAATATTAACGAAAGTGGTGATTTTCTGGGTTTACTTAGATTTTTAATGGAAAAATGGGAATCAGAGTTTGCCAATTGATATGGATAGCACCACTGAACTTTGTGGATTAAGAGCTAGGTTTGTATCCCACTTTGGGATGTAGTATATCTATATGCCAGTGCTCAAAGAAACAATGATATGGACTAAAGTTCAAGGAGAGTCACCGAAAGTGTTATCGCGGATAGGGATACGAAGAGGGGGATTGTACGTAGGCTACAGTGGTTCTGAATTCCACTAGAGTAATAGCTCATAAAAGTGGTTGAAATCAGGTGCCTCTACTTTTGGAGAGGATAGGCTTCTATAAGGGAGTAAATATTCCCTATTGATAATGAGAAAGAGATAAAAGGTGAATCAAAACTATTAGGTGTTGTTTGGTTGGGGCTTTTTGAAAAGTTGCCCATGCAAATGAAAGTGGGTATCATCGAAAGCCTTGTTTGGTTGGCTAATTCTTAAAATTTCCCCACCTATTCCACTTGCCTAGCAAAGCATGTTTGGTAGTAGAAATCCATCCTTTTTCACTGTTACGAAAGACATCTTCAACATGGTTTTTTTGTTAGTTAGCTGGGTAAATGAGAAAGATGAATCATGACCTAGACCAATATACCCCTGTGAAGAGCAAAGTTGATAACGCCTTTCCCCGTTGCAAGCTCCACCAGCAACAGCGCCGTCACTCCAAGAATCGCAATGCGCCCGTTCAACCGCTCACTGTATTGGCTGAACCCTAATTCCACCTTCAACCCGCCAGATACCGGTTCTTTCAGAGGAACCGGCGGAAGGTAAACGCCGGAACCCGAACCCGAACCCGACCCGGAAGCCCCCTTCTTGGACTTTCGGCTCTTTCGGACCTCCGCCTTCTTTCCTGTGCCGCTCCGGTAACGGAGGCGGAATTCGCTCATGCGGTTGTCGAAGTCGTCGGTGGTGGCAGGTGGTTCGGATTCGGGTTGCGATGGGTCCGAATCGGTGGCTCGGGTGGTGAAGAGAAGGAAGGGCTTGTGAAGATGAGGTTTGGAAGAAGAAAGCGGGAATGGGTTTGCGAGTTGCACAGACTGTGATTGTATGTTCGCCATTATCCCCTCACTCTGTTTGTTTGTTTGTTTGGGATAACACACTCTTTTTTGGTACAATTCAATTCTCACTTGTATTTCGACCTAACAAAATTATGACATTTGAAGTTGATTTACATACAGCATAACCCGGTACCAATATTATCATGACAGTAGAAACAATGTTCGAGAAAATCGTTCTTTCCAAATAATTCTTAACTTCTAGGGCTGCATACTCAAATTCGTTTCTCTGTTTACCAAGTTTATCAAATAAAAATAAAGACACAGTTTGAGCACCAAGTTTTTTCCTTGAACCACACTCTTCAGCAAAGGTGATGTTTCAAGTAGACTAACTGGTTGACCCAAAGCGCTATATGCAACTTCAGAAATGGCACTAGCAGAAAATGGTTTATAGTATACTCTTGAAAACAGCTATCAGAAGATGAGTGCTCCTCAGCATCACAAGAAAACTTAATAAGCTGATTACTATACAAATTTTTTACAGTTCCATCATATGCATCATACATATCACGTTCTGGGAAGGTTTGCATTGTCACTAAAAGAGCTATATATCATGACTTGTCACTGAATGAACAGAACATTCAAGTGGATTCAACCCGATCAGAAAAGATCTGTTCAACCACAGCATATAGAAAGTAAGACTTAACAGATTCAAGAGTACCCGAAAACATTTAGATTGAATCAAGCTCCTTCTGACTATTCCAAGCAAGCCAGAGAATGTTGCAGCAGGCCAAGGCACATGGGATGTTATACTAATTTCAGTAAATTACCTTTTGCTTCCAACCTTAAACATAGCAAACAAAGTATTGTCCTAAAATGCATATTTGTCAGCTAAACTTTGAATATTGCGAAAAACATGTCCAAAAGCATCAACTAAGACTATAACCTATCATTGATTACCACTCTAGACACTGGCAAATACACCACTTGAAGGAAAATCATAGTCAAAATTAGACGGCAAGGGCATGCTGAACAATTGCTTGGCACTCCAAAATAAGTTATTACTTGGAACAGCCTTTACAATTGTAGGAGGTGTTAATTTTTTTATTGCAAAACATTTGAAGCTGTTGCATTTGCTAAACATTTTTAAAAGGACTCCATCAGCAAATACGCAACAGTTAAACTATCCTGAGAAAGTGAAACCAGATTTTTATCACTTTTCCCATTAATCAATTGCACCAACTGATTGTCGAATATATCCCACGCAGGGGGGAACAATAAATATCGGAAGGACCCTTTCTATAGACATTTATATTGTACAACAGAATGACCCTTTCTGCAGACATTTTCCCTTCTCTAACAAGTGTAGCTAACAACAATAATGCAATTTTTCCTCATTATGCCTATTCATACACAGAAACCTACAAACTTTCTGCAATTTGACATGGTATACAAATGTTATCATTACAGTCAAACACTTATCCGCATGTTCCTTAAGGTCGTGGTGATGAAAATGAAGATATATGTGCCATATATATATATATATATATATAAAATTAATTCAGCCTTGTGTTGGAAGCATGAGTTGACCCTATCGACGAAGATCTTGTTAATAGTGAGCATGCACCCTGACTCGGCGACATTGGAAGCATGTGGTGAAATAGAGGTCATAGCCTCATAGGTAATCATCCACCGATACTAAATTCAAAAAACCCAGGCAAGATCTCGAGAGCACTACCCAAGAACCAAGATAAAATTGAATCTAATACACCTTCCATAATAGAAGAGCAGCGTGTGTGGCGTTTTTCTCTCTGCAAGAAAACTATGACGCTGTTGTGGTTGTATGTGTTGCGGATAAGATCGAACCTGTTTTTATATGGGGCCTACCTAAAAACTCCTCTCATTAAATTGTTGATTACTGATTTATTAATGCATATTTAAAATTTATCATGACATATTTATGTTTAAATTAAACATAAAAAATCATCAATGTGGTAATTAATGTCTTTAATATGACAGTAAAAAAAGGTTCAATATTCATGCGCAGCTGGCCGGTTAGTGGGATATCCACCAGTAAATAAGTTGCACTTGGGTTGATTAAAAGTGGTATAGCTAGGTAGGGAGATGAGATCACAGCCGTTAGTTTTGAAGTAGGCAATCATTATCAAAATATCAAAAGATGGTTACAAATGAGAGCAACAATGCAAGAAGCAGCGATGCAGCATTATCATATATAGACTTCTGCCAAATTTCACATAAATGAGTCCCTCAAAATGGTAGAAAAAACAAAATAGTAAAAGAGGAGCATTATTGTATTTTCAGAAATATAGAACTTGTTTGAAATCAGTTTTCAAAAATAATTTTTTGATTTTCAGAATAAAAAAAATCTGTTTGTTAAGGCCTGTTTTACAAAAAAAATTTAAAATTATAATTATTTTTTTGTTTTTAGAATTAAATTTAGAGAATATATATGAGTTATTTTTGTTTTCAATTTTGATTTTTAACTTTTAAAACAAAAAAAATTATAGAAAATAGCTGTTTAGATAATTATTTTATAAAACAATTTTAAGAATAAAAAATTTTTCAACCAAAAAAAAAATAACAAAAAATCAAAACACAATTAAACAGAGCAACAACTTTTATTTTATGGTACGCGCATGTTTGGGTTTTTTTTTTGGGTTGGGGGTTGTGTTTGGATTTCTTAATTAAATTTAACATATATGAAAAGAGAGGTATACATATTCGACAACAAAATCACTGCTGATATTTGTTTTAGAGGCGTGAACTAATAAAATATTCCATAATCTTTTCATATTATTCAGTCAAATGTCACTTCAAAAACTATAACGACATTCAATATATATAGATATACTTTGCGTGTTTATATGTGTTGGTCCATGAAGAACTCAAGAGGGGATAAATTAAGCAATATAATTTTTTTAATTTAGATCAAATCTAATTTTTGATAATAATTTTGACCACTAAAATACACAAAGAGATAACAGAAGTAATTATGTGACAAAAACTCTATAAGGAGAAATAAAAATCCCACGACCCCAATTTGGATGCCTTTATGATACTAGGAGACAAATCCACTAAAATAAGCCAAATTCAATTCAAAGTATAAGAATAAAACTTATTTCACCCTTATACAAGAATTCATTCAAACATACCTCTAGATGAAGGCACCCCAATTCACCCAAGTAAATTGCACCCCAATTGTCAAATCTCTAACAATTGCAAAACACACTTTAAATTTAACTCTAAGCCAAAAGTACAAGTCGCCAATTATCACTAGATAACTGTTACGCTATTGCCTACTTCGACAATAACTAAAACAAAAGAACAAATTAAGAGTTACCTTGCACACTTTTTATCAAGAAGCAATAGTACAAATCAAATTTAAAATGTGGACTCAATTAATCTATTCATGCCTTAGTTGCCAAATTATTTCGAATGGGCCTCAGGAAGAAATACTTACAATACGTGCAATATTCTATTTCTCTTCTAGACATATTCCATAACCAATTACATTCCGTGTTGTAAAAACCATTTTTGAATGAAAAAACTTAGAATTCGTGCAAAAAGTGAGCTGCCATGAAATATCCGGATATTACACTGAGAATATCCAGATACCATATCCGGATATGTGCCCGACAAATATCCGGATATGTACGGATCACAACGGCTATAAACGGCTAGTTTTCAAATAAGGTGTCAATATAAATACCCACATCAACAGTGATGAACAATACACGATCATAGATCAATTATTGAACCTTTGTTACTCATTCTAGCCTATTATTGCTCATTAATTACTCACTTTGGTCATTGCATACACTTGAGCTCATCTTTCTTGAAAAGCTATACACCTACTAGTGCTTCAATTTGTGTAATCTGTACTTAGAGAGTACTTACCCTTTCTTAATCATCTCAATCTTACTTCTTGAATTGATTGGGGAGTGAACCCTTGTGTTATTGAAGAAAAAGTGTTAGTCTCCAAGTGAACGAAGTCTTGGAGAATTTTGTAGTGGTTTGTTGAGAACCTTTGAAGCTCAACTGAATAGTGAAAGTTGACAAAGAGGCTTCAGTCTGGACGTAGGTCACGGTGGTGGTGACCGAATCAGGATACATCTCGTTTGCAATATCTCTAACCCTTATCTTTGCATAAGCATTGTTAGATTATTTTAGTATATTTAATTTCATATCTCGCTAATTATTTGCTATTATTTAGTCTCGACGTGTAGTAAATTATTTGAACTCAAGAAAATTATTTTCAAAAAGAAAAGTGAGACATTTTATGAAAATATTTTTAAAACTCAATTCACCCCCCTCTTGAGTTTGAGGCCACTTGTCCAACATTATATGCTCACACTGAAGAAAGACTCACAATATAATTTTTATAGATTTTGTTTTTCTCACAATTAATTACTAGGAAAAATATCTAACTTTTTGTACTAAATCTTTCTTTTCAGGATAATCCTAATTTTTAAGAAAACTTTCAAAAAATTAAACTTTTAAAGATAGAATCAAAATTTTCAATTTAATTTTCCAAAATTGACTTTCCAAAATCAAATAAAATAGAATCAAATCATTCAAAAAATGATTTAAAATTTCAAATTAACTTTTTCTTTTTCAAATCAAAATCCAAATTTTAAAAAAATAGATTAAAAATAAAAACTTTTCCATCTTCCTAAATCAGTTTCCAAACTTTTAAGATAATGCAATACAAGGCATGATAAGGATTCACCTTATTTAACATTACATTAAATTTGAGATTTTATCTTGTAACTTCAATCTTCATAATTCCATGATAATTTTGTTGCATTCACTTTTTTTATAATTCATCACATATTAAATTCTACAACAAACCTTCAAAAACTACACAACTTGTTAGATAAACTTGTCTTCACTTGTTTGTTATCACCTAAATTAGACAATGTTCGAAACCCAACAAATTTTCCCTTTTTGATGATGATAAACATCAAGTTCTAGATTATCTTTACTTACCTATCTCACACAAATGTTATATCGCACTCCAACGCTCAATTTACCACAAGATTA